TTTGAGGTCGACCCCCACTAAAAATCATATGGATAGGTTCCTAAATACATTAATAAATACATTTATTTTTTAAAATAGTAGCCCATTTCCATATGTTCATGTGTGGGTAGTAGATTTAAACTATAGGGCTATCATTATGGGCCCTGCCTGTACCTGTTCGCTCTGCCATCGCGTGAAGGGTCTGCTAACAAGCGACCAACAGAAAGGTTAATGTTGTTGCACGTCACCTCAACCCCCCCCCCCGCTACCCACCAACCCCCCCCAAAGTATATTTCAGATCTGTGGGAAACACTGGCAGTTAATGGACCAGCACCAGAGGCATTCCCATACACACAGGCGTTGGAGCTGTTCTTCATGAAATCCCAGAAGGATGAAGTGCTCTGACAAACAGTGCCATCTTTGCGCAAAATGATTATACCGGAATGAAAAGTCAATAAATAATGTTGTTAAACTTTTTTTTTTTTTTCGCGCACACCCCCCCCCCCCCCCCCCTCCTTGCCACCACCCGCCCAAGTATATTTCATATCTGTGGGAAACACTGAGATGCTTGCTCACCCTCCTTCAAATTTGAAAAACAAGTAATTATATCATTATTGATATACCAGTTACAACCTTGACTTTACATCAGAAAGAACAACATTAAAGAAGTGACTAACTGCATCAGTTAGGGTTAAAAAACGTGTATTCAGCTAAAACATAAACATCGCTGCAGTTATTATCCAGTGGAAGGTCCTTACCTACTGGCCTAGTTAAATCAAAGTGGTTACTTTCTGTTGGCTGGGCAGTGTAATTTTACACACCGTCTTATTTTACTTTCTCAGGACTTAAAACTGTTTTTTGGGGGCAGACCCCCTCAAAGAAAAATATATATACACGCATACAAGGTCATCATCTTAACAGTTTGTTATTCTCATCGAGTCATCCGTGAGCAGAGCATCAAGTTGGCATGTCTATTGTCTATTGTCTAATGCGGCGATTACTATTTTGTTCAGCAAAACGCCTCACAAACTTATTAAGATCAACAGCTGTAGTGCGTTTTGATTCAATGCTGAGTACAGCCAAACTTGACATTCTCTTCTCTGTCATTGTAGACCGCAACTACCTCATTCCTTCAGTACTTGGGTCCGAAAGGCTTCTCGTTTTGCGCCGTTCCCACGTTCAAGTGAATTCGCCACCAATCATATTTCCACTCTCGCGCCAGGACCGGGGGAGGGGTTACATGACGTGCATCTTGTGCTGCATTCACTTGCACTGGGACATTAGAGACTTTCTCTCATAAATGTCCGATGACCCACAACTTTTCTTTCAAAACAAAGATGCCAACTGGGGTGGCAGCTGGGGTGGCAAGGCTATTGTTTAGGGTGGCAGTTGCCACCCCATGCCACCCCGGTAGATCCGCCCCTGCATTTATGTAAACAAGTATTTGCGAGGAATAGGCTACCTTTATATGATCATTATAGTTATTAAAGAATAAGAGAATAAATGAAAAACGGGTATGAAATACTATAGGACAGTAACACAAGAATACCATTTATAAGGGGAGTGATTAGTAAAATATCCATAAAGAAAAAGTAAATCTGTTTACAGTTCTGTTTCATATGGATGTTGAGAGATGTATCCATAGATCTCTTCATGTTGCTCTCAAAGTGCACCAGATTGATGCTTTCAACTTCAATATTTTAAAAATAATCTTCCCGGGGGAGCATGCCCCCAGACCCTCCTAGAGGACGTTAGGTCCACCCCCACCTAAAACATGTTCACATGGATAGGATACTAAATACATTTGCACACTTTTTATATGGTGGCCTATGTCCATATGTTTCTGTTTTGGTGGTCGTGCCACAACCGTGCATGTATGCACAAGTCATAGGTGCGCTATACAATAGCACTACACCCTGCAATGTGTGTGAAAGACAATAGACTTTACAGCATGTTTTTTGAAATTGAAGTTGCGTTGGTGTTTGTGTGTTGGTTGTTGACGGCAGTGTGTGATTTCCCCCCCCCCATTTGATTTGTTCTAGAGCCGACCCTGCCTTATTTCAAGCTATTTTCCAAAATCCTATGGAGAAATCCCATTGCTTTCTGTCGAGGGAATCCGAGCGCAGCTTACTTCCGGGTTTTAGGACGCGTCACTGCACCACTTGCATAGACCTCACAGCGGGCGGAACTTGTCATAAAGTCCGCGAAAAATAAAGCCCGCCCATTTAGAGGGAAGATATGATTGGTCAATTGTACTGTCATTTGACATTACTCTCTCGTTGAGTTACTATATAGGCTGCTTCTCAGGTCGACTATTTGCATTTCCTCGCTCCTCGGTCTCACCGGAAGTTGATTTGCCTGCGCCATCTTGAGTACCGTCCCATGGCTCTTATTTCTGCCGGAGGACCGAGGATCGAGGAGCGAGGAGCGATCATGGAGGAGCGATAACCGAGGAACCACCAGACCATCCTCCGATGAAATCCTCAGATACTCACCCCGCCCCCTTACTGTGTATCGCTCACTGATTGGACGAGGCAGTGCATGCACTGATCTGATGCTTCTTGACATGAGAGCAGAGTGAAGAAAATACATGAACCTCACGGGAGTCACTCCTCAGTTTATACCGTGTTTTGTTTCAATTCATGTATCATTTAGTTACAAATATGTGATATATCTGAACAACAAAGTGGTCAAAAATAATTTAATTCATTTTTTGGAAACATTTTCATGATCGCTTTTTCCTTTTACATTTTCATTTATTGTCATTTCCATTCAGTCAGTCATTAAGTGCTATTAAAATGTTAATGTGCTACATATCCACACAAACACACAAAGTGTGCAATCCAATGAATGTTAATCCAACTGGGTTTTGATAGATAACATATCTCTTTTTCTTCTCTCAATTATTGTATTTCTATTGTGCACTCTAATCAATATTAATCAAACTATTGTTCGTTTATAAATTTTAAGAATGGCGTTTATCTTTTTTGAGAATTAGTTCTTATTTTATTTTATTTATTGGGGTCTACAACAGATGATACAAATGTTTGTGTCAGTAAATGTGTACTAACAGAGGCGGGGGGTGTGTGGAAATAACGGGGACAGAGCTGCTGTCAGACGATCAGCTGTGCAGCGTCATCACAAACGGACGTCGCTTCACGTGACGCTCGGGAGGAAAGGACGTCCCATTGCTCTTAAAACTCATTTCCCTGCTTCTCGTAGTTTCCTTGCGTCCCTCCATGCTTCCCTTGTGGGAGGGACTAAACGCAGGGAAACGACGTAAGTGAGGGAAGCAAGGATTGCATTTAATCGACCTGAGAAGCATAGACCCCTCCAGAAAAACGTTTTTTTTTTAATGTTTTCAAATATTATTTTTTAGAATATCTTAGGGGCCCTGACGGCTCGCCACTGCTCAATGCACTGCTACTGAACTGACATCTTTGTATACACTCACCTTTCTATACAGTCAACTTGTTCAGCTACATAATTCTGCAACTGACTAAGTATCAAAGTGTTCCACATTTTGAAAAGTAACTGGTTGAAAGAGAGTTGAGATGAGTCTTTTTACAGCCATACTGCTTCGTTAGGAGATAACAGCTGGTGGAGACAGGTGTTTTGGGTCTAGCTGTTTGGACATTTTCCCGCTCTTTTTGCCAGGCTCCTGCATGATATCTTCTGAGGGCATTACCGTAGCTCTCAGCAGATTATTGGCAATTTGTTATGTACAACTTCCAAGAGAACTTGGTCCCCTACTTTGTTACTCTCTTCCGTTATTGCTATACTCTTTCCACTAGTTTCCCCCCTCACAGCTTGCTTTGCTTACACTTTCCAAATTCCCACACAAAATGATGCTTGTCCAGATTAGTCTTCTTGAGAGCCATGGCATTGACTGAGACGCTTCTCTGTGTGATATCCAGCTCAGTAAGTGCACATATTTTAATGCATATAATTAGCTATTTTTTTAATAATGTATATATTACATGATATCACAACATTGACTCATCACTTTTAATGTAAATGTGTTGAAATAAATAATAACAAATTCAAAAAAACAACAAAGCAAGATTTCTTTAGTAACCCTCAGAGCGCGTGAGTCCTCATTCAACCATTCACACCCTATTTATACAAAGGTGCCAAAATGCTCATGGCAGCTAACATTCACACACCGTTGGCCACCAGGAGCAACTCGGACTTAAGTATCTTTCTCAAGGATACATCGACATGCAGGCTACTGTTACATGGCTTACTGTTGAGTTTACGAGTTGCAAGGTCAGAGAAGGTCAACATCAAGACACCAAGAAGAGTAATGGACAGACAAAAACACTCAAATAAATGGAAAAATAATGAAATATGAAGTTTAAACACAATTGAACTATTTTAACAGCACAGCATATTGTTGTTATTTTTGCTGTTGTTAATTAGTCAAAGGTGTGTTCAAGTATTCTCATGCTGCATTATGGTATTTTAGATTTCAAAACTCCATCAACATACAGCGATGCATTATATATACATCTCCTATACAGAAGGAGTACCATTCAGTGTAAAAAGTTTAACACAATATTGTTGTGCATTCTGACTTTGTCTCTTTGATCCTCACTCATGTGTAGGTATTAAATATGAATTAGCAAACAGGGAAAAGAAAATGGTGACAGTGAAAGCTAATTCACAGAATAATCCCCGTCGTTTCCAGAAAACAGGTCACAGACACATATTCTAGCTTTCATCCAGTTTCCATTTGAATATCCTGGTGAGAAATGAGAACTATTTAAAAAATAGAATAAGAACATGTGTTGATGTACTGTAGATGGATTTTCTAACAGTAGTGGGAGAGAAGGAGAGATGCTCTTCAAAGTGAGGAAAGTGTGCCACCACCTGGACGTTTTAAAACTTTCTAGTAAGGAAAATAAAACAGGAGACTATTCTTTAATTTCCCGAAAGGAAATCCACACTTTTACTTTTAAAAAAATCCAACAATGATGTGATTCATCTGATTTGTTTACAAAAGAAACTGTCACACAAACTTCACTTAATCTTAACATTCTCCATTTATTTTTAACACTCGCTTGAAAAAACTTTAGTGCAAATCATACAGAGGACTGTTCAGATATTGACAACGTGATTTTAAATTATTAATAAATAAACATGACTCAATTAACACTTTGAAATGCTACAAGCACTTTTCACAGTTAAATAACAGTCTCAAAAACCGCCCTGTACATCCAACACACTGAAGGAGCTATAACGTTTGAAAAGGCAAATATTTAAAATAGAGATCTCTCAGATACAAGATATTGTCAAGCTTTAGTTTGCCTAAATAAAAATAAATCAGTTCATGATGATTAAATTATTACCCTGTATAGCACTGAATCTTCAAACTAATAGTTTATACAAAATGTAATTCAACAGATACAACTCATTGCACTCACTCCATGACATTTCCATGTGTATACAGTAGGTGTTCCAGCTAAAAATACCCAACCACTGATCTCACATTTCCATGTTGTGATTTCTACATGTAATTAACTACACTTCACACAATAAACTGTTGACAGCAGATTATAAGCAATGAAGAAAACAGACAGTATTTCTAATCTAATGAAGATGTATAGTTAGTGGGGGGGGGGGAGGGGGGGGGGAACACAGATCATTCTGACAGTGATTTTGTGAAACTGGTGCAGGAGAAAAACCTACAAGCAGACTGTAAATATATATAGTAGTCAATAGAATTCTGAAAGTAATGAAGCAAAGACAAAGCACTGGAGTTAAATATCAGTCAGTGTTGTTTAGAAATTAACTTAGCTATTGTAATAGTGGCTATGACGCATCCAAGCTGTACAAATTATACAGTGCTTTTGTTTTGAATTGCAGTGCCAACGCATCAAACTGTTTCCCAAAAGAATATATTTATTGTGGCATATAACCCCGAAAATCAAACAAGAGAGGTTTCGTAGGAAAACCGTTTTGTAAAACATGATGTATTTTGTTTCGATCTTACTCCGCAAAGATTTTTTTTAGACAAATTCGATTGCCAACCAAAATAGATTCCACATGTGGAGCTATGTTTATCCCCCTTATGCCGCAGTTAGTCATATTGTAGGGCACATGGAGCACTATTCTCTAACTCACATTGAATCACATGCCGACCAGATACTTTACTTTCTTTTGGATTTGCAATGACGGTAGCATTCAATCTACCAGGTTACATTTACAACATTTAAAACACTGACTTTCATAATTGTAGTTAATGTTGCTGATATCTCTAACAAAAATGTGTATAGGTAGCTAAAGGCCATTATTACACTGAACTATAGAGTCCTACTTTTATATGATTCTGTTGTATTAGAAGTAATCTTGATGTGTCTTTTATATACTATTATTATTATTATTATTATTATTATATACTTACACCGATTCATTTTAATCAACATCAGATTCCGTGTGTAAGGCCTAATTGCATCAACATAATCCCTCCTGAATGAGAACAGCTGTAGTATAAGCTTGCAGCATGCAGAAAGAGTTCAAACCAAAAGGCCACAGAAGACAGATAAGGAAAAGTGCAAATGCATGCTGAGAATGATTGCCACCTGCCATCCTCTCTAAAGAACCCAGAAAGTAGGAAATGAGAGCATCCTTCCAGCCTCACGTCGTCCCACTTCCTTTCCAATTTGTGACACGTAGCAGTGAGACTAACTTCAAAGTGCAAATCCAAGCGGTTGACAGAAAGTTTACGAACTGAAGGAGAACTCTACAAAACTCAGAGCGACTAGAAAAGCCTTCAGATTCTCAGTTAAATACATCCACTCACTGCACCGCTAAGTCGTCCGTTTTATCCGTCCTCAAATCAGTCATTTATTGTACAGTATGATGCAACCTGGGTCCATGAGCTTTACAGTGTGATGGGGAGCAGTTCTCTCCTGTATGAGCAGCTTCACAGCAAGGTCCGGAAAACAAAGAGATGGACGTTAGGATGCTGAAATCAATGGGTTACTGCTTTTACTTTTGTTCATTCAAAATAATAAAACATTTAATATTTTGTAGTGCTTTTTTTTTTAAATACTCAAAGATGCCTTAAAAACAAACAAAAAAACATTTAATTCAAGAACACAAGATTTGTTTTATATATATATATATATTCTATACATAACATTTTAATTATTTGGTTTTTTTAGGGATGGAGCAGTGCTGATATATTATTTGCTGTCTTTCCAAAATGTTTATTCCATAAATATACTGTATATAATGTTAAGAGGCTTGCATATTGTAGAGGCTGCTATATCAGTATCAGCAAATTAGGAATGACTGTTTAAGTAATTTCTTTGTTTACAATGTTTTTTTGTATACAGAGCTCTTGATTATTGTAATTTTTATTATTTAAATGAACTGTTAAATAAACATTAACTACCTGAGGATCCCCTTCAGACTGCTGGACTGTGCTCAGAGCTGCTGCTGTCCTCTGGGCCCGGGGTGGGGGGCCGCTCCTCCCTCTGCGCTGCAGCCTGCTGTGGTTTCACTATGGTGATCTTAATGGGCATCCCTTTGTGCTGCATTCGGCTATACTGTCGCATAGAGGGGTTAAAAGTGCGAACGATGGGAAGTTCACTCAGAGTGGGCGTGTCTTGTTTCAGCTGTGTGCTCTCTTTGATAATTATTTTACTTCTTTTGTTTGACAGGACGGTTTGCACTGGTAGGATGGCGGGTCTTTTAGCGGGGCTAGAAGTCTGCAGTCTGGTTTTATGCAGAGGTGAGGATTGTTGTGTCTCTTCAGCTCCTCTGTGCAGGTGTCCATCATTCTCCTTCGTCACAGAGATGCCTCCTTCTTTCCTTTTCTTCACCTCTTTGGGTTTCTTGGGGCAGACGGCCATGTGTTTGGTTCTGCTGCGGCGCATTGTGAACTCCCTGCTGCAGTGCGGGCAGACGAAGATCTCCTGCTGCTCATCCACATGTGCGGGTGACATTTTATTCGATGAAGGGACTGACTTGTTCCTCTGTGGCATGACCCTTTGGACCAACTTTTTCTTCCTCTTGCTCATGACCTTGAACTTCACATTTACTGCTGAATCTTGGTTAGGTTTGGACCTGTTTGAATGGCTGGGTCTGTTCGACGCATTTAGTCCGTTAGTGGAGTTAGTGGTAGATAGAACTCCATTTTGAGTTTTTGCAAAGTGGCGTAGTGGGATGGGATTCCTTTTGGGGGTGTATCGCCTTTTATCGCTGGCATTCGCACAAGTCAGGATGTGCTTATGTAACTCTGGCATGTTATCAAAGCTCTTCCCACACTTGGTGCATCGAATGGCCGTGCTGAAGGTTTGTGGGATGTTGTGGGTGGTGAAGTTTGTGGCTGAAGCTAAGGTGCCCGTGGTGGACCTGTTATGGTAGGGAAACGGAGGGGGCTTATAGCTGGGGTAATGTTGGTTGATGCCAAGACGAACATCCGGCCCTTTGAGTTTGGCTCCATCTGAGGCCAGGATTTTTATAGTTGTTAACAGTTCTTCAGCAGCCTCATCTACTTCCCCTTCTTCCTTTTTCACCTTCAGTTCCTCTGCAGCGTCGGGCACTGAGGTCTCCGTGGTGACTTTTGTTAAGTTATTGAAGTTCTGAGGTCTTAGTTTTCCCTTTTCCTCTTCTGTGTATGTACACTGCTGTCCGGGATGTAATTCTTCCTGATGCTGTTTTAGATTGCAAAGGTAGACAAATTCCTTCGTGCATGCACTGCAAACATAAGTCTTGCCCACCCCGTGGAGGCTTGACCGATGATCGAGCAAAGCGGAGGGTTTGCTGAACAGCAGCACGCAGAACTCACATTTGTAGGGCCATTCATCAGCGTGGTCACCTACATGATGGCCCAGTTCTTTCATTGAATGGAAAAGCTTATCGCACACGTTGCAGATGAAATTCTTGGTGAAAGTCTGCTGTTGGGCATCGCTGGGAGTTGTTGAGGCGTCCTCCTCTTCGGCTTTCTCAGAAGAAGGCGAGGTTTTAGATGGGGTTTCAGGGGCGGAAACAGTGCCGTCAGCAGCTTCTTCCTCTTTGATGGTCGATGGCTCCGCGTTAACAACAAGCTCTGGGTCAGGACCTGATTCACCAACTGGCGCAGGACAATCAGATAGCACTGAGGCGGCAGTGGTGGATAGAGTAACTGATTCTGCGATGGATGACATCAGAATAGAATAGTCTTCAGTTTGCGGGTTGGGCACTGATACAATCTGCTCCTGTTCGACGTGATTAACAACCATCTGTGTAGGTGCTGGAGGCTCAGCAGTGTTTCCTTGTAAGGTGACTGCAGCAGGGACTATACTCCCCGGGGCTTCAAGAGCTATTGTGCACTCTATCAACACCGTGTTGCTGGTTAGGTTATACGAGTTGATGAGGGAATCATTGAAAGTTACAGTGGGTGTGAATTGCCCTTCTGACGTAGGAGTGGACTCCAATATAGGCGGATTGAGTGTTATTTGATCAGAGAGAAACATGTGGCTAGGTAGATTTAGAGTCGGGTGAAAAGGTTGGGAGAGAGTGACAGGGTCGGCAGCATTTGAAGTGGCAAATGCAGTAGTTAAATCACACTCTGAAAAATGTAATGCATTTTCCGTGCAGGTTACCTGTGATATATCGGGGGCTAATACCTGGATTGGTTGGTTTGAAATATGTGACGGTGCCAACACTGTGATTAATGAAGGAGCAGTGGAGAGCCCCGTGTGTGAAGCATGGGTGGTGAATGCTATGGTGCACGGTGAAGATGGCTGCAAGGAGAGCGGGGTTAGGGAGGGTGATGGAGTCAGGGAATTGGAGGGAAGTGCAAGACCATAAACAAGCCCTTCTGCCATAGACTGCATTGGGCTCATCATATCTTGACTTGTAAGTATGGTGAAGTCTGTCAGTAAGGAGGTGTCGGGATTCATGAAGCTTATATTTTGCTCTAAACTATCGATTAAGGTCATTCCCATCATGCCTTCAATTGATTTTCCTTCTGTTAAAACTGCATGTGAAACAAAATTTAACATCAGTTCAGATTCCCCATGATTTGTTTTTTGGAAACTCAAATCCAGCGCCGAATCGGCTGAAGCTACGTCTTCACTGCTTTTGACTGTGTTGGAGAGATCCAGTGGTTGCTGGTTACAGGAATTACCGCCGGTGGAGGGAGGCCAACTCTCCGTCTGTGGCTCCTCCTCAGGTGGGGTTGTGTCATCCTTCACATTGGCTGTTTTGTGCGCAGGTGAACTATATTGGGTCTCCGTCTGTCCTGTATTCACAGCTTCACAATCTCCACTATCTGCCGTTTCTTCTCTAGGGCTTTGCTGTGGAGAGCTCGGTGGAGGAGACCCAGTCCTTCTTTTGAACCGTCCTGTCCCTGCAGGCAGCACAGACAGAGAGACGGGTGATAAAGGCTTCTGGCCGTCTGCGATGAGTGCGAGTTTAAGGCCATCCTGCTTCTCCAGCAGCTGCTTCAGCTTTGGAGACAGAAACACAGTTCTTTCCTTCTGCACCACTGTACCCTCTGTATTCTGAGGAAAAAGATTCTCTATTATAGAACATACAAGTGAAGATGAGGAAGAAGACACAACCACGTCAGACTCCAGTTCAGTTTTAATTTGTGGTAAAAGCGGAGGTGTGGCGGTTCTTCTCCTGGCCAGTGGTTGACCAGACATCTCTGAATCTGTATTTAACACCTGGCTGATTTGGGTGGGGTCTAGAATCAGGGCGTCCAGTCCAACTAAAGTTGCAGACCCAGAATGAACCTCAGCTGCTTCACAGCTACTGATCGTACTTGTTGACACTATCCTTCCATCAATATAAAAGCTAAGATTCTCTGAAATATTGCTAGAAATGTCAAGCATGTATTGTTCTGCGTGTCCCACTTCGTTCTCCAGAACAGCTGCAGGTGCCATTTTGTCAACAAGCTCTGTTTCCTGTTGGTTTGTTTCACTGCACATCCCCTCAACGTTTTCCTCTTGGGGCAGATGGGCTTTTTCCACATGTGTGACTTGCAGGTGCTGCTCGTGGATCCTTCGCTCATGCCGTCGCGTGTTGGTATGTGTAGTGAATATCTTTTCACAGTACTTGCAAGCATGACGCCCCTCTGACACTCCCGGTTTGTCTGGCTGAGCGTTGTGGTCACCAGAGGACAAAATGGGAGTATTAGAGCCAGTGGTGGATGAAGTATGAAGCTGCATGGCCGAGCCTGCTAAATCCAGAGGCTTTACCTTCTCATGGTGCAACTGCTCCAGATTCGAAGCTAGTGAAATATTGGTTTTATATTTGTGAGCATCGTTGTTTGCGGAGGTGTGGATGTGCATGTGTCGTTCCAGGCCTGGTTTGGTGGTGAAGTGTCTCTCACAGTGCTGGCATTGAAAAGAGTTTGAGTCCCTCTCAGTGTCCTGGTATGGTGACTTAACCATGTCGGATGCAATATTGGTTTCCTCTTGATTAATGTCCATCTTATCCATGTCCTCATTCTCTATAAATTCTGAGATGTATAGGTGAGGAGAGTCCTCCATCTTTGTGGAGGTTGTATACAGCTCTCTGAAGGAAGTTTGTCGCACAGGATCTTTTACAGTTGTCACACCTACTGAAAAGATAAAGAAAATATTGTCATTTAGCAACCCACAACTAGCATAGCTGAAAGATACCCATCAAATTAACCAATCATTCACTATTTATACTTTAACGCAAAACAATGCATCACAGGCGATCGTTTATCTCTTGATCAAAATGACTATGTAAAACAATTAAACTACTAATAACAACAATGGTCATACCAATTTGTAAACATAGCACAATGTTATTGTTTTCATCATCTTATGTCTATTATTGATTTGTTTGGACATAATTTATCAGCCATGAACAATATATAATAACTTATAATAAGATATACAATTATATAACGCTTATAAACAAATTCTAACCATAATGACCATTTATTTCCTATTATTTAAAATATGAACCAGTTGGTAAACATTTCATTAAAGTTTTGTGTAGAATTGTCATCACGCCATCTTACCATTTTAATGTTCAGTGCAGAGAGAGAGACATGATTTGTTGACGGATGAACATAAAGGCTTTTTCTTATGCTGCAAGGAGAAAGAAAACAAAAAAACTGATTATAAAAAAACGATTAAACCCATTATATAATATAACACTTAAGACTAAACTACTGAATAAGAAGAAGCTCAATCTGATCAAAGTGAACAGCTGTGGTGTGGGAGCAGACATACTTTATCTCTTTAGTCATTTGCATGCTGAGTATCCCTTGGGTCCTGTTCTTTTAATGTATGCTAATGGACCCCAATCATTCAAACAAAATCCATTATGTACCAACACCGCAATAATGTATGTACCCCCCGCCTTGCTACACTGTGTCATATCCTTTAAGTGTTTTATTTGTATTTGCCCGTTGCCTACAGAGAGTACAGTCCTAAAATACAGCTAATCTGTCCCCAGATTACCTTACTTACCCTGGTATGGTAACTGTACACCACCTGCTACAGATTACCTTTTCACAACTGGCAGCTGCTACACATACCTCAAATGTAAGTCTTTATTTTGAATAGCTACCTTTCATTTATTACTCCAAAACATGTAAACATAACATTCAATCATCTGATGCTTGGTAAGACAAAATGGCAGGCTCATCATGGGTGACAGTCTGATTTGTCGTGCTCTTCCACCTGCTCCTCACAGCCGCATTAGCTCTTAAAGCATTAAAGTCAGCAATACTCAATTGTTTCTTCAACTATCCGTTAACAGTTTGCATAGAATTGTATGCATTTAAATTCAGCCTACATAATAATTGCATTACAAGCAGTTATTAGGCAACTGAGGGGGCACGAGAGGAAATGTAAACAAAGACCTTATAGCTCGTGTTTATATTTGTTATCCATTCACTATTTTAAGAAATGTCTATGTGCACAGATACAACCGAGTCATGATATATTAGCAGAATCGAAAATGGTTGCAGCACCATTAAAAGGGCCTTTCCGTATACTGAATTATATGAGCCAGTTTTCGTAATATTCAACTTCTATTTTCAACTGAGCAGCAAGAGGCTTAAGTGACACTTATTACACGTCAAATAGATGTATAAAAAAGCAATTATCTATTTTTATATTAGAATTACACAACTCGGATTAGCTTTCACACGCTTCTGCTTCACCTGGCTTGATGATGCTCCCCCGTCCTTGCACCATTGCTAGCTGGTCACACAACACGTCGTCATATTACTGTTATGCTACAGAGGCTGCTAGCTTAAAAAGGTCAACTGGCTTCTCTAAAATAGCCCTACACTCCCCGACTGATATAGGGAAACAACTCACGATTGACTTCCCTTCAACCGCCAATGTCCTAAAACAATGCTGCACTTATCAAGTGAAATAAATCTACTGTTATCGCCATTACAGCTTCAACAGTGCTGTGCTAGCTGCAATGCTAGCTCGCAAGCCCTGGCTATATATAGGATAGAACGACCGTTACAAACACTGACAGTTAATACAAACCTGCACGTGACACTTCCCGAACATGCTAACTTCCGTAGAATGGTTTGAAATGTTCCTGTCGTGCAGGTTGTGTACAGTTCTGTTATCTGTTTCTTCTTCCCCAATGTACCAATGGGAATCAGGTGTTCTGATTGGTCAGCAAATGTGGATGTCAAATGTTGACCAATCAGCAACAGGCTTGTTACGGCGCTGGAAGAAGAGGAAGAAAACTCTTCAGAGCAAAAGGCAGCTGTCACTCACCTTAGAGACTAAAACGAGAACATAAATACATGTTTTTCTTTAAAATGTACAAATCTAATGCTTGCACTCACAAATTATGCTAGAAATATAGTCGTCTAAAAATTCAAAATAATCATGCTATCTACATTTCAGTTTTGGGCTATAATGACTAATAATAAGAATATTAATAATTACAAATGTTTTCATTTAAAATAAGAGGATTGAAACCAAATTTAAATTGTAAAATATTATAAACTGATGTTTTGTTATTATGCTTATCTAGAACTTTGAATTTTCAAACTAACAAAAAAAAAAACACGCCTTAACAAAAAAAGGCGTTGACAAATATGAATACAACTTGTTTTAAAAATCACTGCCATAGCATATCTAATTTTCTATCTGAAATCTACCCTTGCAGTGTGTTCATTTAGCCAATAGAGGGCGCAATATACCAAGGTCTCATTCAAAAGAAGTTCAGTGTGCTGTTAAATACAGTTTCATTTACGTCAAAACTGAACGCTATGAGTTGTTTACATGGTATAAGCATTTTAAAATGTGTATAATTAAGGGTATATTGTTATATTAGTGTGTTCATTCGGTTTGTTGTTGCAATTAATACAGTATAAGTATTGAGCTTTTTTTTAAATTATGATAGAAAAATATAATACATTAATATGAGCTTGCAAAGCAGTTAATACAAATGCAATACTGCTTAAAACTTGATTCAATTGCATCTTGCAAAAACATGTGCTGGTTCATTGGCAATATTATTTTTGATGTTATAGCCAGGCCACATCTAAATATCCTCACTTCAAAGTCGTTTCTGTTTCACAGCTGTTGAAAAAACCAAGCTGACAAGATGGAGATTAATGGTGTGCAGGAGTAGGCTATTTGTTATCTTCCCTTGAGCAGCTCTCTGTTTCCCCCAACAATTGTGAATTGAATCGCAGGGCACTGGCTCATAAAAAAGCCACACCTACACTGATAGAAAGCTACCCTCTGGTTTCACATTGCATTATTTCAACCCGCAGGATCAACATAAATAAAAGGACTTCTTTGAGAGAGCCTGTAGGAGTGAACCAGACCCCACATGTACATTTGTAACATTGTGCAGCACATGGGTGGTGTTCTCATGGCACATGCATGGTATGTCTCGAGTTGTAATTTTGTATGTGGGCTGACTGCTGTTTCTCTATCAAACTACATGCCAGACTACTGCGAGCTATAATGAGAGATCTTAAACAACAGACCTCTCTCTAATCTTTTTTCGCCTTCTCTGTATTTTACACTCAACCTCCCAAACTTTGCAGTGAAGTTGCTGACAAGGTGTGTTGTGTTGAACTTACATAAACAATGAAGAACACACTGCATTTACCAGCATAAGATGTTCACACACAGTTCATTTAGTTTCAAGTTGACTATGATCCTGTTTATTTATAGCTTGTTTTAGCGCGTCACTCCAGGCATGTCCAAGGCTCCAACATGTCTTACACAGTTGATGGCAATTGCAGCTGTGGAATTATGATGAGCAGTTCTGGATTAGGTCTAATGGTAAGACACATACGTCAAATCATCGTATAAGCAGGTGCTGATCGACTGGAAGCCATGTTACACACAGAAGGTATGAGTTTTCTAGAACTGAAAGCAATTCATTGCAAGTATAGAGAACAAACTGTACTTTGCTGAATCATGGTTGCTTGGTGAGAACATCTTTGCAAAAGCTGTGTGCTTCAGATTCCCTGACTCTAATCATGTACAATCATAATGTGCGTGCTAAGTTGCTACTACATGTTAATGGCATGTTAAGGATATGCATCCTCTCTCACATGACTCAAATAGGCCACTTGCTTCACTGCCAACCTTAAGGTCACTGTGCATCACCTGGTTTGACCGAGAATAACCCTGGTACTATACATTTGAACTTGGAAGCAAAATGTCAAGGGGATTAGGAGGACATTTAGAAAGTGATAAAAGCTGAATATGACTTTTGAGGACATCATTGATACCAAAGGTATTTATTTACACACGGCATCTATTGCATGTTTGTCCGTCCTGGGAGAGGGATCCCTCCTCTGTTGCTCTCCCTGAGGTTTCTCCCATTTTTCCCTTTAAACTGTGGGTTTTCTCTGGAAGTTTTTCCTTGTACGATGTGAGGGTCTAAGGACAGAGGGTGTCGTATTGTCATACTGATATTCTGTACAAACTGTGAAGTCCACTGAGACAAATGTAACATTTGTGATATTGGGCTATATAAATAAACATTGATTGATTGATTGATTGATTTCGCCAGTGGTTTAAATAGTATTTAGAAAATGATGACTAACATTTAAATGTTTCAAATGTTTCATTTTATATTTTTTGTGCATGCCCTTTTATCTAATAGTGTTTTATTTTAATTGTTTTCTTCACCTTTTGCTGTAGCAATGTTAATGTCCCCTCTGTGGGACAAATAAAGGTATTCTGATTCTGATGCCTACCTTCCTTTTAAAAATGTTTCATTTCCTCTAGGCGATTATTTGTCCTATCTCTGCCAACTGAATTAAGACAGCATCATTATTTTAGCTGATTGTATTGCTCTTATCTTGGTTTTCATGTTTTTATCAGTATATACAATTGTTAACTTGTTTTGTTTACCTACAATGTGTTTAACACAGCATCATAGTAAATGAGGACTGCTCTGATAACTTCAAAATATAAATATATTAAATAAAATACCTATTTTATGGCATGCATGATACATGTGCAGATACGTATGCATATGTACGAATGCACACCAGAAATGCTGTTGATGTAAGCTGAACACAATAAATACAAATGATAAACAAAAGATGTATATATGTAAAATATACCGAAAAGTGTTCAAGTTATTTATATATTCAAGGACAGCTTTGAAAGCAAAGAGGAAAGGAGGTAATTTGCGAGAACAACTGAACAGAAGTGTGCTCCATATTACATGCATGGTAACGTATCCTGTGGCAGTGGGCGCCGGTTCGTGCCGATGACTCTGTGCACAATGAAACATTCAGCAGCACCAGAACATATAGGCCCAGAGAGACAAAGGGGGGACAGAGGGAGAGGTGGTCCACAACGTGTGTGTATCAGGGCAATCAGTGAGCAGGGCCTTGGCATGAAACAATAAGGGTCCCTCATAGAAGATATGTGCCACACGAAGAAGACAAAGCCTCGCCTGTAATCCGACAACATGTCATGTCCCTGAGACAAAATAGAATTTGACTGCTTCATGTCGTGGGACGCCAGATGTGCAGGGAACAAAATGTAAATGTGAATGTGTTAGAACACAAATGCAAATTGTTCGCTGCAAAAACACATGATGCTGTAAACATGCACACAACTGTAGCCCACTGTGCTGTATATGTACTGACACACACACACACACACACACACACACACACACACACACACACACACACACACCACACCACCCATGCTAATAATCCCCTTAAGTCCAATAAACAGACATGTGCCCTCCAGAATCACTGCCCCCTTGTCACTTCTGCAAACACACACACACTTAGAGATGCACCTTGACCCCTGTGAAGTATAACACCATGCAAATATTGAACACACACACACACACACACTTACATACCACACACTCCATCCTTCTCCACTTTCACTGTCCCTCTGCTGCCACACACAAGCAAATTCAAAGATTCCTTGCATCTATATGCTGTATCTGACCACAAACATGCTTTGCCTGTCCCCTCCCTCACCCCCACCTTCCCCTGCCCCACCTTCTCCCATCCACCCAGCTGTCTGTGGCACTCAAAGCCCACGGGCCCATGGGCTGACATTTATTCATGACACATCACACACCCTCTGCACTCTACAGCTCTGACATGTGGCGCTGCTCGCACGCACCAACCCTACACCATGCTACTGCCATCATTGAGAATTCATGTCAACTCCAAGAGATGAGGTGCGGACTAATGACACACATGGAGCGTATTTACATTAGTGTTATGTCTGTCGTGTAGTAATTCATCAAATAATCTCTATTGCATCTGGGACAATAATCAATCTTTCAAATCACTATGTGTAGATGTAGAAGCATGCATTTGTAATTGAAAAACACAAATTAATCAGAGATGGCAAAAGTACACACATCCTTTACTCAAGTAGTACAGATACTTGTGTTTAAGAAGTACTGACTAAACTTCTTTACTCAAGTAAAAGTAAAGGACTTCAAAATGTACTTCAGTAAAAGTACCCATAACTACCAACTGTTTTAAAGAGTACTGACCTCACTTTATATTAATAGAGCAATAATGTCATTCCTAATGAATGTTTAGATGCTGATCAACGGCAAAATGACAACGTTTTCATTGGTCCCTCTTCTTCAGAGAAGACCAGGAAATGAAGGAAAAGTAAAAAGTTGTCAGAAAAATAAGTAGTGGAGTAAAGTACTGATACCAGAAAAATATTTGTAAACCACTACTTCCCACCTCTGAAATTAATAAGCATTTTTTTTAACTTAGGCCCCAGGTGATGTTTTTTATAGAGGCACTGAAGGTTTCTGATGCCCACAAACTGTTTCTGACACACCCAACGGTAGGCCGATGAGTTATTCTGACATGATAGTAGCAGGAAGGTTCCTGGGCCCTGGCCAACTGAGGCCTCTACAGTATGTTTTGTATGTGTATCCTCCATATGATCCGGCTTATTCCCACAGTGTAGTGTAGTACTAGTGTAAAATAGTATTCCAGTTATAGGAACAAAACACATTGAAGACTGGATTACTATCTACAAATGTGTAGGAAACCACAGTCAGTCATTTTGATTTGGTCTTTTAATTGCTCAAATTGTAAAATGCAAAGTTTAATATACATAGGAAGGAAGGCATACGCAACAAATTGAGTTGATGCAATCGATGCAAGGTTACCAAAAAGGGTAGCCCAAATGTTTGTTTAGAAGGTGTTTTTTTGCTGCCCAGAAAAAAGAACGCCTTGTTCCCTTTTCCAGGTTATTCATGATGTTGTGAGACTGCAGCTACTGCTATGATAACCAGGACCAATGCATAGTAACTGCAAGTAATATAATGTAAGCAACAAGTTTGCCCAATAAACCATTAATATATATTATGCATCGTCTCACACACTGTTCATTTAGTTTTAAGTTAACCCTGTTTATTCATAGCTTATTGTAGCGCGTCACTTCAGCCTGACCTGCCAAAAACAGATGTAAGAGAATTAGCCTGATGATGCATAGTGTTTATTTATTTTCCTGCATTTAGGAACACCTCATTACTCTTTTGTTGTGCAAGCTGTGCTTTCTTTACAGTGTTAGGATTACAAATTGCTGACTGTGCACCAACGGTTTTCCTACAAATAAAAATGTAGACCAGTTCAGACCAGAGGTTTCTTCTGTGTGGAATATATCATAAACAGGCAGCTATAAGTGATCTGGTATTTCTGGTTGACACTGTGCAGGGAAATATGAACATAAACACACATAAATATACCAGTGTGGTTTTATTTGGAGGGAAGGACATTTCCTCATCTGTCTGCTAGACCTGAGCAGTTTATTCCTTCCTCGTAGACACTTTTTTAGTCAACTTCAGCAAAGAAAAGGAAAGTACATTTTGAACCAACACTTTTTTTATTGAATTGTACAAATATATTCATATATATTGTACATGTTCTAACAAATGGAGTACATGACATACTGTACATCCAGACACTTAGTGACCGCACACACACACACGTGAATATGCAGCTCACACTTATGCCTGCACACCACATAAGCAGGCAGTTTTAAGTCTGATAATTAAATATGAGACATAGACCTGTGTGTCATGAATCTGAGACTGAGTGAATCACACACTTTTATAATGTGTCTTAATAGTTGCCTCTGCTGGGACATTTTGCTGGAGCATGGCTGTTATGATACTTTTACCATGTGTTCATCTGCAGAGGGGACATAGTTAGAAATTCTCTCATAGAGACATAAATCACTAAGAGTATTTGTGTGTGTGTGTGTGTGTGTAAAAGCACATGATCAATGCTAGGCCCACCCAGGAAGTGACTCCACCCTGAAGCGATGTACAGAATTCCCCCCGTGCTGAAGGAGAGAGAGCAGCTTCACAGCCACGGCCCATAGCCTCTCCATCTGCCCCTTTCAAAAGACTCCATTGTTCCCCGCAGTAGTCTGAGGCGAGAGAGTGAGCTAAAGAGAGTTATGAAGCCTGCCGGTGGGGCACGGGCTGGGGCGGAGGGCGTTGGGCTGCTGCCTAAAACCACACGGAGGAGAGGGAGCCAGACACAGAGCATCTCTGTGCGACTCGCAGCCTACTGTTGGAGCCCTGCCTCAGCCTAACAGCACCGTATGAAAAAGTCCACAACATGACATAAAAAACACACCCAACTGTCAGAGGGCTCAACCGCCCCAACGGTACGAGGCCATATGGTCCTCCATATTTGGTGCTGTTTGTTTGCCAACTGAAAAGGGGTTGTTTTTTAAAAAATGTTGCTTTTCTTGAGTGGACCAATCAGAGTGGAAGCTGCCTCTCTGGAAGTTTGTTGAGGATGTGTGTGAAGTGCATTTGCAAATAGAAAATAAGAGTCTCAGATTTTAACCGTCAGAAGGATTTTGGCCTGACTGAATACAGTGTTGTTCAAGAAGGATTTGATTGAAATGCAAGAACGTAATCTAACTGATAGAAAATGGGAGGAGAATAAACAGATATTTGAGAGAAATATTCACACAAGAGAGCTATCAGAGTGTTTTCAGTTTTTTATTGAAACAGTATGAACAAAACACTGCAATTAAATAAAAGGGATCAAACAAATCAGATGGCACAAATTAAAGACCTAGAACTGATAATATGTGGCGAAGCAGAGGAGGGGAAACAAAGACATTTCGTTGCAAACATTTGCAGTGTCTAAAAAGCCTATTCATTAAACATTACATGACTCATTCAGTGCACGTATTAAACGAGTTTGTAAAGCAAGCGGAGCAAAGCTGAGACTTCATTATTTGTACACCCATGTAGCACACTTACAATTGCAAAAAAATAACAAAAACAGGGCATTGCTGCCTAACACTGTGCACTAAAACTATAAGTGCAACTATAAAATGTCATCCTGTGCACGCAATCTGGGGTTAGCTCAACTAAAAGACCGGATGGCTGTTCTGGTAAACTAACTATCAACAGAAGTACTATGAATACACTGTCAAGACAATGCTATCACTAGGTCATATAACCACTGGCGGTGTGTGTAAGCCTCTATAAGGAACGAGCCAGAAGTCACAGAAGCTGTTTTCTTTTGGAATGGGTGGCAGTTAAAAAGTCATTCACATTAATAATGCACTTCAAAAGTTATCCCCCAAACTACCTAGAGAATACCAGAGACAGTGGCACAAACCCTTCTGCTAAATTTCACAGATATGTATTAGGTTTTTATATGTCAGTGTTAAAGTGGGCAGAATGTCACGTTACTCTTGTATATGAGGGTGGCTTTTCTTTCCTGCTAGCCCTCAGAGCTCACGAGTGTGTTATGTCAAAACAACTTCTGCACACAGTGCTTCGTACAGTTGGCCAACATATCTGGCTATATGAGATGATGTGTTAAACTGGTGCATAGGGTTTCTTTAAAGGTCTGTTAGCCACAACAATAGCCTGAGGCTGCCTGTTTACTGTGTATTCTTCCATATGATCAAATGCCAGCCTATGCAACTGCATCATATGAGAAAGTCATTAGCTGTATAATGTAGTCCCCTTGCATTGTATATACATTCTGTGGAATTTGTAGCAGTCTCTCCTGCTTCCTTTCCTGCGTGAGTTCCAAATGTCCTTTTTGTTTTTGTCTGTACTTTCCATTTGTATGTCCTTTCATGCAAATCTAAATCAGTCACTCTTTAAAAAGCAGAGAGATTTGTATCCCTAGTAGTCAGATAATCCCCCCCTTCCCATCTTTCCTAAAAGTTTTTAATTGAACATAATACATTTGAAAAGGCCTCAAATTGTGTGACATCCTGCTGTCACCTTGTTTTGTTCTCTCCAGGGGAGTAGGGGAGGACAGAGCGTTTTATTTATCAGCGGCTCCTGGGGTGAGGGTGGGGCTCGGGCAATGGGGGGGGGGGGGTTCAGGAAGGTAGCGGGGGGAGGTGAGGATGTTTTGTCTCACATACATACAGTACATACATTAACACACACAAGCCTCCCTCCCCCTCCTTTTTGGCAACAGTCCAGAGTCCTGGTTAGATTAGTTTAGTTTAGTTTAGTTCTGGTGTCGTGCTTGTTCTAATGATCGCGAATGACGTCACAGTTCAGTAGTTCAGAATTTCCAGAACTTTGTGCGCTCGGGCTGCTTGGCCGACTTTTTCTTCAAGGGCTGCGGGATCAAAAACAAGAGAGTCAGTGTGTGATTGAAAAAGCAGGATTATTGCATCTTTAGTAGTAAGAGAATCTAAGTTTCAGTTGTTAAAGATTATTCATTTGTACACCTGTTATGATTAATAATACAAAAAATATTTAATTTAAACATTAAAGTATAAAAGTACAAAAGTAAGTAAGAAAAATGAAACAGGTTTACATACAAAAACCTGAAAGGGAGACATTTTGTTTTAAAGTCAGTTTGTTTGGGAGTAGACGCAATTAGTCTTTGGACCACATGTACAGTAAAATAAACTTTTTTCAACAATCACAGAAATACTGATAATTAGGTATTGAGTTAAACACCAAACAGAAGTTGACCACATGCTGGCGAAATTCTGACACACAGTCCCTTTGTTTCTGCGGCTCAAATCAAGCTGTCAACATAAAACCAGCCTGATGGAAGACCATTGGCCACAAAAACCGACACCGATTCAGTAACCAAGCTAATTCCAATAATCACCTGGGACTGTGTGTCAGCAAAAAGCAGCAATATGCATCAAACTTAGCTGGTGGATTTTGGGGAAGAGGAGAATGTTACATTTTTGTGATTTAGGGACACGAGGGGGTTAAACCGATTAAATGAAGGAATCAAGACTGAGAAATTTACAGAAACCATAACGCTCTTCCCGGTTTTTTTGTTCTTGGCAGACCTGTGACACAAGAAACATCAATCATTAGCAAGACATGCAGCTCATGAGCGTTTTCTCAGATGGGAGGGTGTGGTTCGTGGGAACGCTGTCACATAGATGGGAACTCTACGACTCTCGAGGGAAGATCGATGGAGGAATATGTTTAACGGCAGAGAGCAACTATGGTCCAAATGCTTTGCAGTTTGTGTTGTGCATGCCAGGGTCAGCATATCACACAGAACAACTCTCTGTCCAGGAGCCATTACATCACTGCCTGTGTTATTTCATCATAGGATGTGTCAGGGATGAATAGACGCTCATGCTGGTTCTTTCGCTCCATATTTAGAGGAAGCCAGAAGTGATGACTCACTGCACAACATCAATACAACTCTCTGCATTCACATGGATTCAAGCTGTGTGTGTGTGTGTAGGTGTGTGTGTGTGTGTGTGTGTGTGTGTGTGTGTGTGTGTGTGTGTGTGTGTGTGTGTGTGTGTGTGTGTGTGTGTGTGTGTGTGTGTGTGAGGTACTTACGAGTATTTTCCCATTCTCCTCACTACAGCAACCACCACAGCAATGGCGATGATCACCGCAATCAGAGCGCCAATCACAATGCCCACCACCTGGCCAGAACTCATGCCCTCTGTGGGACAGAAACACAAGGGTTAGTACACTTTTTAAAGGCTTTTAAGACTTATTTTCTATTTTAAGACATTCTCAAATCTTTAGATTGTTATGTAGACCAGTGAGAGCACCTTAAATTACTTGTTTTATGTGTTGTATTAAGAAAAACAGGTTTGTATCTTGGAGAACAAAGTACATGGGTGAAATCAGTAAATACTATCCATCTATCTATCTATAGTTCCGTTTCTGACCTTTAAACCCTCTCTGCCAGACACACATGAAGTTGACAGAGTGTCTGCAGTATCATATCAGTTAACAGTAATAGATGAATTCAAGTGACCAGCTTTACACCACCATCCCCATCAAGCACACTCCTCACCTGCTGTGCCGTCTTCAACGACTACCGCTTCTTCTGCCTGGACGGCCTCTGTAGGAACGACCTCTTCCTCCGCCGGTGCGGGGTGGTCGGTGACGATGACTTCAGGGGCCTCTGGGACTTCAGTAACAGCAGCGTCTGTCTCAACGACAGCCTCCTCAGTGTTGACTTCGACTGCATGAATCTCCTCTGTGACAGTTTCTACAACCTCTTCTACTACGGCTGCTTCTGTTGTCACTTCTACTACGGCTGCTTCTGTCGCCACTTCTTCTACTACGGCCGCTTCTGTTGTTACTTCTTCTTCAGCTGCCGCCACTGCTGCTTCAGTTGCAGGAAGACTAGTGAAAACAGAGAGTTCCTCTTTTGGAGCCTCGGTGATGTCAGCAACGTCCAGGTCTGAGGGGATCTCTGTGGGGCCTGCAGGGAGAGGACGCATGTTTTAGTATTTAGGAATACAATCTGTGTACTGTGTTCCTGAAACATCACAACATCAGATTTTCACCAAATTGTTATGGTGGTCAGAATAATTTACAATAACGATATTATCTTGGTATCAATAGACATTTTGAAAATAATAATCCTTTGTGTTGGGGAAGGAGGATAACGCAAGGAAGAAACAGATATGATTTAAAAAAGGTGTTGGATTATTAAAACAATTTAGTCCATATTTGTAGTCTTTTTTTAATATCTGTTAGAGTTATCATAAATACAGGTATATTCTGGCACCCATCTTAGATATAATTTAAAAAAATCACTTAAGTATAAAACGTTTATTTTTAAAAGCTCGAAATACATAATATGTCTTGATATGTGAACAATCGTACAACGATTAATTGATCTTTGTCATAGTGACCAAGACAGGCAGCTGACACAGAAAAAGACCCCTTTCTGTCAGGATGAGTACAACAAAGGTCAAAGAGAACAATATAAATGTTTACATTCCTCCCTGACATAATGGCATGACCTTTCCTCTTTCTCACACGTCTCCCATCACCAGCACAATGCTCCATGAGCACCACACCCCATGACTCCTCCACCCCTCCATCCTGTCTTTAAAGCTCTGTGTCTACAAGATGGCATGCCACATCCTCTGCCTCATTTCCTCTGGAGTGCGCAACCTGTGAGGAGAGCGCGGGAACGCTTGTTAACCCTCCGCCCATTAACGGGAGGGAGGGAGGGTGGGGCAGCAGGGACAACGCCTGATCAAAATAACTTAAGACCCAGGAAAGATTGATTTAATGGTGGACTGAACACCTAGAGGAAATGTCAGCCATATTTCTTTAAAGCATTTACTACTTTAGTTTCTCTTTTTTTGTACAAATAGATATGTAAAATCAACAATCTTGATTTACATTTTGGAAAAATAATATGTAAATAAGTTTAATGAGATCTCAAAAGACCTTCTGTGCCTGCAGTCAAACTGAGGCTCCCATTTTGTGTTTACCATCTGCAAGAAGACATGTATTTAGCCTTGTGTCTTTCATCAAGGTCTGGACTATGAAGCGGGTTAAACCTAATCATTTCTCTCCAATAACCCTAGCAACATCTCCCCACGTAACATCCTCCCAGCCACAACTGAAAGCTATGCCTGGACAGCGCTGCTTCTAATTCGAGGAGGTAGATTTCAGAGTGGCAACAAAATTATGGTCTACAGTTAACTTTCCACTGACAAAACGTTGGCCTGAAATCTCTATAGAGTCGAAAATCCTTTAAAACTCAGTCTCCCTGAAACATTCTCCCTGTAGAGGCGAGAAATATCTTCTAAACTTAGCATCTGACATCATGCTTTCTCCATCTCCGTTTTCTCCAATTGCTCTAAATACTTGAAATAATAGAGAATACTTTGCAGGGGTAAAAATAACTTTGAATGGTCTAACAACCGGTGCAGTTATTCCTAGTCCTGTGTTTGCTATCGTGTTCATTAGCAACAGGCGGGATAAATATAACAAAATATTTGTTCTCACTGAGTACAGGGGGGGGGGGGGTTTCAAAAAGGCGACCCAGACTGTTTGTTTGGCAAGTCTGTAAGCGATGACAAAATGGTCTGTGCTTCACAGAGCATGGCAGTACGCTATGTGTAATAGTCCCCTCAACAATTGTTTCATTATGTGTACAGTTCCCACAATTATCTGCGAGTAGTATTCCCTCCCCACTGTGCTGAGTATCTGGGGTTAATACAGCTGCAGCAGTGAGTAACACAGTAAGACTGCTGCGGTCCACATCCTCTCTGGTGCTTTTAATCTACTTCTTCTCCTTCTTTCTCCCCATGACTCTGCCACTCCCTAAGGATGGGTTTGTTGTTGCTGAAAACCTTTGAGAGAGCGGGAACAGCCCCGAGTCATTTCTGCTGCTTGATTTCTATTGTGGTCTGTCTCTGGTTTGCTGTCTTTGCTCACAGTAAGATGTGTGTGTGTATGGTTGGCATGTGTGTAAGTGACCCTCTGTTAATCCTCAAGGGGAGTAGGAGCACAGGATCATATCCAGAACAGGACCCCTAAAGCTGCTAAGGACTTCTAGGTCAACCAGTCACTAGATATGTGAGCAGCATGTAAACTCATTAAAACCTCAGAACTCTGGGGGCACTATGAAGAGACTCAGACTAACATGCACCCCCCAGCCAAGGAAAATACAGAACAAGTGGATGGAGTTCAAGTTTATTATTCATCCCAGCAATATAAAGAAGACCAGACCTGGACTAAGAAACATTTACGTAACTGTGGCGTTGCCATTATTATTCCACATTTTCTTGGTGGTGCACCCGGGCCCTTTTACCCACCATTACATCATTTTGACCACACATGCTCCCTCACATCCACTACCACGTGAAGCATGAATCTGCCAGAAAATCTTCCTGCCAGTTAACAAACGCAAGCAAGTGGCAGTGAGTTCATGCAGTAATGTGTGTGTTTATGGGTATGAGTGTGTGTGTGTGTCTGTTATCTATGTATTAAAGGGTTCATTCATTGGTTTTAAAAACGTATTCTTTTCACTCAAGAAGTGAATGACAACATGAAAACAAGTAGAAGACTACTGGTGATTATACTGTCTGAAGAAATAGATTTGATTTATTAAGAAAATAAATGTAGGACAAATTACAAACTCAAGTAGTAAAATAAACACCTAATGTGTATTGAGGATGTTTTCTTTCTACTAATCTGGAAAAAAACTTGTTATGGCAGCGAAACAGCCCAAGGTCTCAAGTGTCAGATAAACAACTTTGACTAGATTTACTGGCCTTTTCAAATAAGCCAAACAACCTTAAATAATGTTTAGTGATGGGATGAAGATATACAAGGGGGGGACAGAGAGGTGTAGTGTAACACAAAAATAGTTAAAGTGGTACAGGAATACACCAAAAAGCTGTGAGAAAGATTTGGGGGGGGGGGGGGGGGGGGGGGCACCATGAGGCTCCACTCCTGCCTGGCATAAATAAAACCTTCAGAGAGAGTGTCAGAGTGAGGGAGGCACACAATGACATACAGTGTGAGACAGGAAAGAAGGGAGTAGCAGCTTCCAGCCATTACGATCACAATCAGCTGTCACTGAGGGCCCCCCCCTGTGTGTGTGTGTGTGTGTGTGTGTGTGTGTGTGTGTGTGTGTGTGTGTGTGTGTGTGTGTGTGTGTGTGTGTGTGTGTGTGTGTGTGTGTGTGTGTGTGTGTGTGTGTGTGTGTGTGTGTGAGTTGCTAATTCACAGTCTTGTGTGGGAGGGAAAGGGTCGTGCAGACGGTGTGAGGGAGTGTGTCCACCTTTGGAGCCCAGGAATGTTTTTTCGGCGCTCGAGGAGAGAAATGTGAGAGATAGGCGCCCTGCCCATCTGAACGCACTTTGACGAGATGCCGCACGGCATAAAACCCGACCCCCCCCCCACCACTGCTCCACAAGTAGGAGAGTCAGCTGTGGAGATACTGGTGTGTGCCATGCATTGCACTCTGGGGGATTTTGCACGAGACAGACTGGAGTGGAATATTCTCAGCCAGTCTTATCACAATGAGCGTCCACTCTCGCACATGAACGGATTTCTTCCTCCTCATGGTCTTACTTGGATAGGAGAACATGCAGAAGGTCCCATCTGGACTCCATTGCCAGGGGCAGAAACGGGTCCAGATAAATGGGCCTTTAATCTTAGTCCGAACAGGTCTGATTAAATTCCTAACATGTAATGAATCAGGGCAGGGATGACTTTAAATGCAGCCACTGTAGAAATGACAAAACAAACAGATCGTGCAGTGGCATCACTCTAAACCTTCTCACTCCCTACTTTTCCTTTTTAAATCTAAACACCCCAGACTTCCAATTTAATCAAACAAGCCTCTTAATGTATTCCTAATCTTGCTAACCTTCCAATCCAACATCATAAAAACACCCACCCAGTTGTGTAAGTGTTCCTTAGTCAGCAGCTCTGTCTTTTCTTCTCCAACTTTCTCTTGCACCGTGTCTCAGGTCTCACCCTGCTGCACACATAGGTGCTAAAGATATGAGACATTTGTGTCTTGTGCTCACAGAGGACTAGGAGACACACACAAAAATAAACATACATTACTGACGCTCTGCTATACAGCGTCAGGTCGTCAGGGCCTGGGCTCGGTCCCCGCTCAAACGTTCTTTCCATAAACAGATGTTCCTTTCTCCTTGTGGAAAACTTTGGAAGTATGACTGGGCTTTTTTCCCCTGCTCAAAACGAGACTGGGTTTACGTGAGAAGTTGTCCTTCTCTAATGGTCCCTCTTTACCAGCATGTGTCTCATATTTGGAGTATGAGCGCAACATTTGAGTCATTTTCTAGAAGTGGGCACGGACAAAGGCCATTGACCTCTCCCTTCAGCAGCCAGATGTGACGGGGACGTTATAGGCCCAGAGAGGCAGACAAAACTCATTAAGAAGGAGACCAGAGGAGGGGGGGTTCACTAGTGTGAGGGAGGCGGTGCGGGGTTTTACAGGATACATGGGGCTAGCTAGTTAAGTGAGCAGGCGCGAGAAGTTAAAAGCCCCCCATTTGAGAGCCATGGATGTTGGGCTTATTTTTCTTTGTTTCCTCTTTTCCTGGGAAAACTGAGGCTGAGAATGATTCTGAAAGCTTAAGGACTTTTTTTTCTTTTTAAAGAGTAAACCTCCATGGTAATGGTGCAGGCACGTCGTCTCCTGGTAAAGGTTGTTGTTTAAAAATAGCCCCAGCCCCTCTCTGCTCCCCCTGTGCCGACACCAACTCTGTCCCCCGGGGTCCAGAGACTCATCAAGCTGGGACGGGGGCAGAGAGTTGGAGGGAGGCGGGGGACTATTAAGAGAGTTTGGGGGGGGGGGGGAAGGGGGGTTAAGTGATAAAGTTTGATACCCTACCAAAGATGGGTAAATGCCAAGGGACGGCGTGCTGCACGAACTGATAACATGCGGGTGAAAGAGGGTGGGGCGCCTCTTGAGGCTCATCACGTACAGGGTGCTCTCCCTTCTCGTCTCTTGCTCCTCTCCTCTTAAATATAGAGCCTCTCTCTATTAATACCCACACGCTAAGCAGCCCTGCCCTACAGTTCCCTCAGCCACACCCCCCCCCACCCCCTGCCTTCTGCTTTCTGGGCAAACACTGCTGGTCAAGGCGCAGGAAGGGAAGACATGAGAAACACAGAAACATGGAGAAAGCAGAGTAAACATGAAAGTGGCTGCAGTGAGAGAGAAATGGGAGACGGTGGATAATCTTTCAGATAAATGTGAGCGGAGTGTGTTACAGTTTTCAGCCCCCCCCAACCCTCACTCGCTGAGTATGATCGCTAGTTTGGGAGTCTTTCAAAGGATATTCCTTTTCTTTTCTTTGCCAGTGCCAAGAATTTACAGACACGAGGCAGCAGAGCTCCTGCCATTACATCACATTTCCCCTCAGTGACTGCAAATCAGACTCTTTCTCAAGAGCTCAGGAGTAGCGTGAGAAGGAGGAAGAAAGTGAGATGGAGGAAGTTCAAATGTTTCAGAACAGACTATCCACTTCAGTTGGCCCCTCTTTGTTCAATTAACACCCTTGACCAAGACTTTGGATGAGTGACTCCCGGCTAAGGTGGAACATATGGGCCAGACTACAGCAAGATGTTTTAGGGGCAGTTTACAGTGATAGTGAACAATAAGAACATTTACAAATAAAAATAAAGTCTTTAGAATTTGTAAATAAATACACAAATAAAAAATGGTGTTAAATGTATCCTTTAAAACCAGCATTTAGAGTGTTATTATTCAGTCAGCAGGGATTAATGGAGACAAAGAGTGTAGTGGGGTAGGCACATGGAGGGAGCGAGGGGACACAGTGTGCCAACGGCAGGATGGGATAGAGACAGTTTTCACTTACTTGCATGTGTGAAAGCGCAGAAAGGGCCAGCCAGGGCCAACAGGAGCAGCAGTTGAACATTCATGGTGGTGAAAAGTTTTCTCCTCCAGTCAAAACCTTTAGGGGATCCCTTGGGGCAGAGAGCACGACACCGGAACCCTCGCACACACGCCACACACACACACCAACCGGTCTCTCCGGAGGGGAAGGACCCAAAAACAAAAAGGTCAAGAAGGAAGATAAAGTCGTCAGGGGGGAAAAGAGGTGACCTGAGATCCGTTTAACTGGCAGAGTTGAAGAGGAACAGGCAGTTGCTCTCACAGCTGGAGGAAGAAAGAGAGTGGTGGAGGGATGTAACGAGGACAAGAGAAAAGAGAGGAGCTGTGGCCACTTTGAGGAAGTGGAAGGGGAGAGAGGGACTGGCACACAGCAGGAGAGAGAAAAGAGACTGTGTGTGAGTGACTGAGAGTGGAGGAGGGGTGCTGGTACTGGTGGTGGGCTGGGCCGGCTGAGGAGCGAGGGGCAGGTTGTGCTGGGAGGAGGGAGTCCGGATTGGGGCAGTGAGGTGGCTTCAGCCCTCGTTGGTCCAGCCCCGAGCGGGACGGGGTCTCCTCTTGGTGTACAGCCAGGCCCCCTGTTTGCAAACCCTGCAATGTCAGTACACACTCACACACACACACAAACACACTTGGAAAACACAGATAAATAGACAGTTGTATTATTTATAAAAGACAAGACAGGCTCTTCAAACTATATCTGTGCAACTCGTACAATTAAAGCAACAGGCTTTTCAAATGCTTTCTGAATGAATGGAGCAAGATGTAAACAGAGGCCTAAAATAAGCCTTAATCACAGAGTTAGCAGCCAACAAAGTGTCTGCAACAGAACACAGCTTCACTTGATGTTACGTATTACAATTCTGAAGTGTTTAACAGCAGACAGCATCTGCATGTATCTTTAAAATCATCAATATGGTGCATACAAAGGAAAGTGGCTGCGTGCATCTGTTGCTGACAGACAGTAGAAAGAGAAGGCAGCTTTTAAAACAGGTTTGGCCCGTGAAAAGGAGCCGTAGATACAGTTAGAACATTGTGTGACTTTCACACCGACAAGCATGGGTGGTCTGCTTAGTTTACATGCGATGGAGGACAAACAAACTGCTGCTTGGCACTAGGCTGACACCTGTTGGACAACAAGCTACGAGGGAAGTTTATCAAGTCCCTCTCTCTGTGCTTGTTTCACCTGAATGATTTATATTTTACAAACTCTGGTAGACCACAGCAGTATGTTGGATAAAGAGTACAATATAGAACATTTCCAGCATAATTGAACATGTTCTGCTGTTTCAAACATGCCGACAGCTGACGAAATAAGGACAGCAGAAGTGAGGTTAGCGCAGTAAAAATGGTCAATGACATTTTAATAATAAACACTGAAACAGATTTTAACTGCTGAACTGCCATACACAGATTATTTATAACACACAAAACGCCAATGGTATTTTTTTTATCACGTATTTACAATATGCTGAAGATATTTACATACTTGTGTCTCCTGAAGGACAAATAACAAAATACTTTCTCCTGTTTTCTCTTTTCAGTCTGTTTTTCAAGGGCAAACATAGGAGTAACATAGCATTATTTACATGGACAACAACACACAAACATACAATATATTCATATATGCTGGTCACTGTTATACAGCATTTAATGGCAATAATGAGTATTTTTCTTTTTTTTTTCTTTATAATGAGACCTTGTTTAGACCATTTGAACAATCACTGAGATCTTCCAAACAGAAGAGCACTTTAAAGTCCCATATTTCACTTTGTACCCACTTAATACAAAAAAAGGACTTTTCTCTTGTGTATTTTTTGAGCCGTACGGAGCTGTATGCTAAATGAAATCAGAGAGGACTTACACACACACACACACTTGTACATACAGATAAAATTAAACATCACAGTAAGAAAAGTTACTAAACTTTTGTTTAGTCTTTGCTCCCTTTTGTTGATATTCTTTTTTTCAAATGTATTTTGAAACAAAGAGATAACATGTTCACATTGTCATTTCATTTCTTTCATTCACCAGATACCATCAAGTCTAATGTTGTGCAAAAAACAGCTTGGTCGTAGTTGATATGCACTTTCCCAAAAACCTTAAACCTTGGAAAACTGAATTATATTTCAGAAAAAGGATGCATCCTTGTTGACAAAGACATTTTAAGTAGTGGCTGTTGTTTCAGCTACTGAAAAGCGTATTCCACAGTATTTTTCTATCAGGTAGCTTATAAGCTGACAAATGAGGATTTTCAACTTTTTAGGCTCGCTGTCCGGGAAGTGAACACTGACAGCACCCAACAACACGCGGTAACCTCAGATACAGTATGGAGATGTAAATGTCTTTGTGTTGGTCTGACATGGTTTATGAATGTAACACCCTGAGAACATGGCAACATGGACTGTTACACATACACAATAACAACATTTAAAATGATCAAATAAAAATGGATTTAGAATGTGACAGCACAAAGACAACTAATGAACAGATTGTGGTGCATCGACCATTTTTTAGGCAGAAGGATTTAACCAGTTTAACCCAGCAGGTGGCGCTTCACTCAACCACTACTGATTCAGGCTGAACAGGTGCACTGTCATCACTTTCTGCTTCATAAATCCTCCTTCTAACTGTAGCTGTTAAGAGCCACAGCCCTGCAGATGCCCAGTGCCGAGTGAAAAACAGATGTGACGAGAAGGAAAGGATGAACATGTTGAAAGTGATTGAATGATGATTTTTCTGCTGTTTAGAGAAGACAAGGTTTCAATTAATTTCAGGTACAGGCGCTGAAACTTTGCAGACACAAGTTGTAGCAGGAAACACAAAAGATTTAAGAAATCAAAAAGAAAAACAATTCACAGACAATTTAGACAACACTTTGGCGACTTGTTACCCTGTTGGCACTATGGGGACACGACGTGACACAATTCAGAGAGCTTCAGACGTCTTTTGGCTTTGAACGTTATGTGTTCGAATCTCGGCTTGGTCCTATCCCATGTAAGTCTTATTTTTTTTATGATTGTCTTTATACTCAACATCCACTTGTTTCAGGGGGGAGAAAAGGCCAGCAAGATCAGAAAAATTACTTTCCGTTTGTTTTCTTTTTCTGTTGGATTGTCTTCTGTTTTTTCACTCGGGTGAAAGGAGGTCAGATTGTTCCATACCTCACCTGTCATCACATGTCTCTCCATCCCTCTGTTCCACCTGTGGCTCAGTTTAAACTATGGAGTCCCAGTCGAAGTCGTCCTGGATGTCGTCTGCAGCGAGCATGCGTCTCACCTGGAAGTGTCCCAGAGGCAGCCTGTGCTGCTGGCTCAGCTGGATCAGGTGACCTAAATATGGGAGGAGAGCAGAAGCCTTAAACATAAAATATGACATGTTCTGCTACTAGTGTGTCTAATGAAGCTCATCGCAAGTTCAACCAGGAAGACCTTCTTTTACTCATTAATTTACTATTTTCCACATTACTACTCTCTCTCTCCTTTCAATAAGTGATCGGGGGCGTCACTCCCCAGCTTAACCAATCACTTCGCTCTATTCTCACAAGCCTATCATAGCACTCCGCTAATCCTTTTAAATCTGCTCTCCTCTCTGACAGATGTCATTTCAGGTGAATCGACGCAACCCTCCTCCACCCCTTTTCACCTCCTGTCCCTCTGAATCCAGGCTCAAGCTAAGCCACTCCCCTCACGACCGAACCCAACTATCCATTCACCACCACCAGTGTCTAGACCCCGGGGGATTTTATCGGATCGATTCTCCCCATCCGAATGATACTCCTGCACAACGGGGCCTAATCGCCAAAACTCCATCACATTCATTTGTGTATTCCTGGCAATAAATATCTATTCTTACATCAAAACCGTCTCTCCTAATTGAAATGGTTATTCTGGTTTGTTTTGTGTTTGTACCTTTTAAGTGATTTTATACTTATTTTTATGTTTTGTGAGCTGAGCTGTGTGATTTTATGTGTTATCTATCTCTCTGTATAGCACTTTGGTCTGGAGGTTTTAAAGTGCATTATACATAAAGTTGGATTGGATTGGATGGTGGCTGCTAATGCTGGCTCACCTTTGTTTTCTGATAACTAAAGATCCAGTAATCCAAACATTATCATTAAATGTGGTTTAAAACGGGATAAAACCTACTTTTGTGACATCTTCTAGTAACAACTGATTTATGAGGCATATCCTGAGCAAGCCTTGTTACTAAAGGGCCATTTAAAATTCTCAAAACTGTGGTGAACTGTGCCTTCCTGCAGTTGGACACGAGCACACTTTTGATATTGGCACACTTAACCTAGGCATTTCGTTTTTTACCAAACAAATATTTATTACTGTAAAAACCCGGTCACCTGTGTGATAAAAAACAGTTTACAAACATATACTCTGCTTCCTCCTTCTCCTCCTGACCTGTTTAAAGAGCGTGGGAGGACTCACCTGTCATGGTGGGAGCTGTGTTGCTCATCGGAGAGATGTGAGGGTATCCTGGCGGGCCCATCAGAGAGGAAATGCTCTGTCTCGAGTCTATGTACATGTTTCCTGTGGGGGAACAGACAAAAGGGCAATGACTAACTGTCAGATTAGTATCCCGACTTTCACACATGCTATGTGTCTCTGCAGAACACAAGCTGCTGTCTGGTGCACACAGTTTTACTGCCATATTATGCTAAGCCTGAGAAATCCTACAGAATGTGCCGGATCTCCCACTGGTGAAAATATCCCCTCGTCTTCATCGCTCTACTCGGGTTGCCATGAAGCTGACAACATCCATAATTCCCTTGTAAATCTAGAATGGGCAAACAATGGCCCAGTGAGGAGAGAGACTGTAATTCAGCTCCCAGCACAGCAGGTGCAGAGATGTTAAATACTCTAAAAAGCTCATGTTAAGATAATGTTTAAGCATTTCTCTTCTCTTTTGAAACTCCTACATTAAATATTTTCTGAGTTTATATCTATCTCTGTACCCGTGCTGATGTGTTGGTGGTGTTGGTTGTGTTGGCCGTGCCGATTGTGCTGGCTGGCCTTGGGGTGCATGGCCCCGTGTGGCTGGGCGGGGTGCTGCGGGGCTCCTGGGGGTGTCGGGTGTTGGACCTGAGGCTGAGGGTGGGTGGCGCCCTGCGGGGGGATGACCCCTGTGGCAGTGAAGAACTGGTTAATGGAGGAACACAGGTCGGACATCTGGGCGGGGTCCAGAGACCAGTTGTTGAGCTCCGCCTGCCGCATGCTCTCCTTCAGACCTGCACACAGAGGAACACACGTCACATACTTTCCCTCTTACACCTTACCTGTTCGTTAAATACCTTTATACCTAAAAGGAATACATGTATCTAATTAGTATTTTTACTGTTTAACAACTTCACATTCACTAACTGTTAACATTACCATGGCTACACAGTTCCACCAAATTATATATAAATGATAATATGTCATTTATTAAATTATAAATGTCT